CTGAATGGATTCCCCCCTATAACTGCGGGGGGGGGGAGGGGGGAGATGGAGCAGGAGCCGGTGGGGCAACTGAGGAAGGAGACATCAGCAGTGTGTATGTGGGGGGTGAGGGGGTCGGGGGACTCCTGGGGAGGCCTCCTGGAAGCTGGACCTGTCCCCTCCCTTTCCACCTACTCAACCACCTGGCAGAAAGGTGTCCAGCACCACATGTGGATGGGACCCAGGGAGCTCCCAGGAGTGGCCATCCCATCACCTCCCTGGGAATGGAGTGTGTGTGGGCAGGGTGGGGAGAGGGCGATGGGAGGGGCTGGCAGTGAGGGGATGGTGAGTGGGAAGCCCAGGAAACCCCACCTGGAGGGAGAATAAGATGGCTCCTTTAAGAGAAAGCAGGTGGAAAGGAGAGCCAATCTACAAGGGTGCCCCACCCTGGCTTCTCCAATCATAAGGCAGCAAAACCCAAGCCCCCAGCTAGGGCCTGGCCTCCTGCTCCTGGGCCCCAGGCCCTGCCCTCCTCCCACCCCCTTCCCACCTGCAGCTCTGCCAGCTCCTCCTCCTGTAGGCCCTCCGCGGCCCTCTCTCACCCTGCCCTGCCCTTGCCTCTGCAGCCCCGCCCCCTCGGCAGACACAGCCGGGTCGCTGTCTGCCAGCTCTCCGCTCACTAGGGTGAGGGCTCCTGAGGGGAGCACCTACCGCCTTGCTCAGGCTCCAGCACTAGGGCCTAGTGTGGGGCCCGGCACACAGTTAGGTGCTTCTGGGTGAGCAGAGGGAAAAGATCTAGTGGGAGAGAGGCTGGAGGTGGTGCCAGGGCAGGGGAGGGCAGGCTCTGCTCCCCGACTCACCATCCTCGGGGGGTGCCGGGAAGGGCTCACTTCTTCGGGGTGGTGTCCGACCTGCAGAGGCAAAGGGGGCTGGGGACTCACATTGGCCCGGACTGGCCTGGGACATTGGGGGGGGGCGGGGGTGGAGGGTGGTTCCCAGGTACACGCACAGCTCAGACCCATGACCCTGTTCCCAGTCCCAGAACCCTCAGGCCTGCCCTGCCCATCTACTTGCCCTCGTGGGGCCTTCCTTCGCTCGGTGGGCTGGGGCACTGAGCGGCTCCTGGGCTTCTGCTGGGGCCTCGAGGACCTGGGAACAGAGCCTGGGGCTCAGGTGTGAGCTGGGAATCCAGACCCGGAAGCAGAACTACTCGACACTGTGCCCATAAAGCACCATCTGCCTCCATGCACAGATGGGGATGCCGGGCGGGGTCGGGGGCAGGGGGCGGGCCTCACTGATGCTGTTCTTGGGCTGGAAGATCTCGTTGTACTCCTCGGCGTTCTGGATCTCGGCCCGAGACTCCCGCTCGTCCCGGTCATCCTCACTGCTGGGGCTGCGGCGTTCGCTCTCCGAATTCTGCTTCACCCTGTGGGGCAGCACCAAGCCGACGGGAGGCCGGCGCGGTGAGCCTGGGCCGGGCCCCACAAAGCCTTCCCAGTGCCGGCCCGCCTCCTAGCACCCCACCTCTGAGGCTTGCTGCAGGCTGTGCTGGGCCGCTCATAGATGCGCCGAAGAGGGGCACTGGGGTGTGCCGGCTGCTGTGCCGGGGGCCAGCTGTCCTGCACGGGGTCCTGGGCCACTGTGCCCGTCCTGGTGACCCGCGTCAGGTCCACCACGTAAGAGGAGACGTTGCTCTGTGAGAAGGCCACACCTATCTGCAGGAAGCAGCAGAGCTGGGGTATGGGCGGGCAGGACCCCAGCAGGCCTTGGGGGGGTGCTGGGGGCCCGAGGGGAGGGGAGGCGGCGGGCGGCCAGGGGAAGGGCAGGGGGTGGCTCTCTCACCAGCTGGTCGTTGCAGACAGCCAGGTCAGCGACCTTGCCCCAGCTGACTAGGACCACGTCAAAGCAGCGCTCAGGCTCCCAGCCGTAGACGCGCAGCGAGTCCTGGCAGCCGCTGTACAGGCAGCAACCATCGGGGTTGAAGAGGACGCTCCTAGGCCAGGCGAGAGTGGGCCATGGGTCCCGAGAGAGCCAGGGAGGCTGTGGGGAGCCCCGGACAGAGGGAGCAGGAGCGGGCATGGGGAAGGCCCACCCACAGCCCGCACCCATGTCTAACCGCCCGGCGGGAGGACCCAGACCCACCACCCGGCTGCCTGCGTACCTGACAGGCCCTGGCTCTCCTTCAATGCAGCTCACCACCTGGAACTTCTCCAGATCCCAGAACCGGATGGTCCTGCAAAGGCAGTCAGGCTGTGCTGGGAAGCTGGTGTCCCCGTGGTGGCCTCCACGCCGGCCCATGGCCCGGGAAGCCCACCTCTCTGCAAACGCCTGTCCCCCGGGCTTGGGGCCACTGAGAGCAATGCTTGGGGCCAGGGGCTGACCCTGCGCAGCAGGCGGAGGGACTTGGCCGGTGGGAGGTGAGCATGGGCTTTGGATCTGGACAGGCCATGACAGCCCAGAACACTGGGACTGGGGAAACCAGGGTTCAGGAGAGATGGGACCATGGCCCCATCCTGGCTTGGCTGGATATCAGGTCAGTCTACATAGCATCAGGGGGCAGAGAACACCTCGGGACGGAGAGACAGAGATGTGAGAGATGGCAGTCACGGGTGACAGGCCTCCTCCTCACCTGTCCGAGCTACCAGAAGCCAGGAGGTACTCATTGGGGTGAAACTCCACCACGTTGACAGGCCCCGTGTGGCCAGGGAACTCGGACATCATCTTGCCAGCAGTCAGATCCCAGAGCTGGGGCAGGGCAGGCGGAAGGTCAGGACCAGGCTCGGGATCTCGGCTGCTCACTCCTCCCTCAGTTCCTGCCACTCCCCCCTCCCCCTCCCCCCACCCCCAGCCTGCCCTTGATCTAAAAGCCGCCTTCCACCGCGGACCGGCCTGGGATACGCGAACCTGATCAGGCGGGAGGCGAGGACCCGGCCTGAGTGCGCTCAGCAGACCCCAGTCCCCAGTCCCTGGGCCCATGTCAGGCCAGGAGCTACCTTCACCGTGTGGTCATCTGCGGCCGACGCCAGCCACTTCCCATCAGGGCTGAACCGGAGGCACCGCACAGCCTGGCTGTGTCCCTGGGCGGAGGACAGAGCGCTGAGCTCACCCGCGGGCCTGGGCCCGATGCGCTGCCCTCCTCCCCGCCCTGCTCCACCCTGCCCTGGACCAGCAGGCGAGGCAGAAGCCGACGGCCGTGCGCTGGAGAGCTCACAGACGGACACCACCCCAGGCAGTCACCATTCCCAGTGCTGCAGGATGCTCTAGGAAATCCCGATTTCCTGCTCAGATAGTCTGGGAAACGACGTATCTTATGCCTCTTTTTGGAGAGTTAGGGGTCTTCCCTTAATGTGAAGGATCTAAAAACCACCAGAATTACATATTCATCTCAGTGCTTCCAAAGACATAGGAACAGGAACCCTCTTCACCTAACAACACCAGTTATCTGCCTGTGGAACCAGAGCATGGAGCACAGTTTGGTAAACACCACGCTGGGAGGATTCATGGAAAGCGGGGGATCCACAGCACTCCTGCTCTGTCGAGATTCCTGCTTCTCACTTGGACTCTCGTTTCTCACATTCTCCCCCATGTTGGACGGCAATCCCTGCCAGCCCCGGCCAGGGTCTGGGCACTACCCCGGCGTCCACGCCTACATGCTGCTCACGGAATGATCGCCAAAGGGCTCCTTCCTTACCCTGTATCGGAAGACGCAGCCTTTCCTCCTGATGTCCCAGAGCTGCGGGGAGAAGAGCAGGGGAGCAGAGTCAGGACAGGTCACGACCAAGATGGGCTTGGGCTACAGAGGCCTTGCCAAGCCCCGTCCGGGAGCCTGGGTCAAAGGGTGGTATGCGGCCACGAGCAGAGAGGGGTTCCAGGCACCCCAGGTCATTACACCCCAAAATGACAGGAATCTGGAAACTGCTCGTGAAAGCTGGGCATTCTGAGCAGAAACATCTGGCGAACTTTTCCACATTCCCCTCCCTCGGAGGCTGTGGACACAGCCACAGTGGGAAGAGGCCCTCCCACAGTGCCAAAAGGCCCGCTCCTCAGGTTGGACGCACAGCCCAGGGCTCACCGCTGGCCCAGTGGGGGACACGGGGCAGACAGGGTCTCACCTTGATGTTCGTGTCCTGGGAGCCCGAGGCTACGAACTCGCCATACGGGTGGAAGTCCAGGCTGCAGATGTTGGCTTTGTGGCCCATAAGCGTGCGAAGAACTGCCAAGGAAGAGAGCAGAGACGGGCGTGAGGGGCAAGCCAGGCACCTGGCAGAGCGGGGGCTGTGGTGGTCCCGGGGCTGTGCTTCCATGGTAACTGCACAGAGAACCAAAACAGCAGCGATTTTAGAAACACGGAGACAACTCAACCAGAGTCCTGCCACCCCAACACCTGGCCTTATTTTTGTCCCGAGAGGTGACAGCCATTTGTCATGACCCGAGCCCCCTGTAGCTTGTGCCCCTGGGCTCGTCCCATTGGGCTCTCGCAAGGGCGCTGTTCCTGGACTGCAGAGCTGGAAAACTACTGCACTCAGTTCATGGACAGACAGCTTATGTTCTGCTGGCCATCCCGCCGTGGCTGAGACAGAAGAGGGAGGCAGGAGAGGTCCATGCTGGGGGAGAAGCTGCTTGGTTCAAAAGAGAAATCCAGGAAGGCTTTTTGGAGGAGGCTGTATTTGAACAGGATGTCAGTGAGTGGAGGGTGAGGGAGGATATTAGGCAGAGGGAAATGGTGGGCAAAGGCCCCAAGGAGGGCAGTGTGGAGGGCACGCCTGGAGCAGCTGTGCTGAGCACACCAGCCCCCTGTCCAAGGGATCTTGAGGGTAGCTGTGAGGACGAGATGAGGTGCTGTGAGAACCGAGAGAACACACAGAGGACATGACTGGGGCAAGTCAGCTCCTGCTGCCCTGGGAAACCTCAGCTCCCATCCCTCCAGGTTTTGCTTGCACCTCCGTGGCCAAGCCCAGCCTGGCCCACAAGCAAACCTTGTGTTTCCATCTCAGAGTGTTCCCTGGTAACACTCAAGTTTGCCTCTTCTCTCTGGCCTCAAGTGTCTCCCTTTTTAGGAGATTTATAATTCTGCTGTCTGAATGAAACTGATCATCCCATAAGTACAGGGGCCAAGGGTGTGGGAATCCAGCCATCCTTAGGTTTGAGCCAAGGTGAAACAGTTGCCTTGTGAGGCGATGAGCTCTCCACTGGAGGGGGTGTTCAAGCAAACTCCAAATGTAATGCTTTAGGGACAAGAGAGTTGAGCTCCAGGCACTGAGTGATTTAAACTCTACTGTACGAATGTCTCCATCCCTCACGCAGGTCCAGGGCTCTGGAGCCAGACAGAAATGGGAGCAGTCCTGCTCTGCTCCTCGCTTGTTATGTGACCCTGGGCAATCCCTTACCCTGAGCCTCACAGTGGGTCACGATCAGAGTTAAGAAAGTAGGATACAAGGTGCTTAGCATGGGCGTGCACACAGTTAAGTGCTCAATGAATACTAGTTATTCTTGCGGTCATTCCTTTCTGCATGAGAGTTGCTTCCTCCATCTCCCAAAGCGAAACTTCTCTCCTCCAGCCTCAGAGCACCTGTCCTGGTTCTCTGTCTTCTGGCACCAGTGATGACCACTACTCAGTGCCACGGCCATTTGGACGCCTCCCTTGTCCCCAGGACGGCTGCTGAGCACGTCTGGGGTGCGGAGGACAGCCTGAATGACTTCAGCACATTAGCTCCCCACCCCCACAAACAGCACCAGGAGGCGGGCTGATGAAGGCTCAGAGGGTGAAGCAGCCTGCCTCAGGCCGGTCAGCAGGGCCCAGAGCCAGAATTTAAAGCAGGCATCGGAGTCCTGAGAAGCAGGCTTTACCATGTGACCCTTTACCTGAGTCAAGGGAGCTCATCTGTCTAGGGCTCCTAAGACAGAGCCAGGCACACCTAAAGGCAGGAAGAAGTGAGCTTCTCTGGTGGTTCTCTGCCTCCAGGACAAAGTGCACCCCTCTGCCCACAGCCCACCACATCCACCCATCCTACTTGGGGCCACTCCGCAGCAGGCACCAGTCCCCTGCCGAGCCGGGACTGAGCCGCCTTTACATTCTTCACAGGGTGTGACAAGGTGCCTGCCACGTCTGTCCAGTAGCTAATTCAACCACACCAAAACCTCAGCCGCTCCTCCCCACACTCTGGAGCGGTCATACGCCACCGGGGGCTCACGCACGGCTTTGCTGGCCAAGTCCGGGGCCCAGAGGGGGCACACACATGCTGGTTCCTGCTCCAGTCCATGCCCACCTCCCAGCCCACTGCCTTGCATCCCACAGCAAGGCTTCCAAAATCCTGCCTTACCCCGAGAGGATGCGGCAAGTTCCACCCGTGTGGGCCAGATTCATGAAACGCAGGCTACCTTCCTGTGGGATGGCTGGGCTGACCCACCCCTGCCCTCTGGCTGCGACGTGGAAGCAGGCAGGACCGCATTCTTCTGGCGTGACTTCTGCCCTTGCTCTTCTGTCCCGGGAGGGCCCTTGGAAGGTGTCCTACCTCAGGACTCAGTCGCAGGATCCAGGAGTTGCTGGCTGGAGGGGCGTCCTGGATCTGTCTGCCCTGTGTGGGAACCTCCACGCCCTCCCAGCTGATAGCTGTTCAACCTCCGCCCAAACCCTCCAGCAACGGGCTGCCTTCAATGCAACCCATGTGATGCTCAGCCAGCCCTTTTAGAAGCCCCTAGGCACCTGAGTGCCCAGCTGCCCCTCATTTTCACTCAAGCTGTGGTGGGTGGGAGTGGAGGTCGGCCTGTGGTCTTAGCTCTTCCCACCAAGGCCGCTGAGGGCAAGTCTCCGTTCCATCACTGAACCCCTCGAATGGCAGAGCGAACGGCACTGGGATGGGAATCTTGACGCCAGGATTTGCATCCCAGCTTCCACCACCCCAGCCACGGGGTCCTTATCAAGTTTGGGGACCCTCCTTGGGCCCCAGTTTGCCCATGTGTCAAATAAGGGGGCCCTGCCAACCCGGTTCTGCATCAGAATCATCTGGAAGCTTACTAAAAGCCAGATTTTGGGCTTCTGCCATTACTGAATCAGGTTCCCTGGGCATGGGGTCTGCGCCAAGTGTTTGAAACGAGCTCCTTGTAGAGTAGCCAACCCTGAGACTCCAGGGCCCAGGAATCCCACAGGTGTCTGGCTTTCATTCTTTGCCCGCCTCAAGGAACTCCTCACGTTTCCCTTATGAAGTAGTCATGGCCGAGAAAGCGTGGTGCCTCGGCTTCTCTCTTTTGTCCCTTGCTCCTCAGTGAACGGTGAATGGCTGGAGCCGTCCACGGGGGCTCAGATCCAAGCAGAGACGTCCCAGGAAGCAAACTGCCTTCTGGCTGAGCCTTTCTGCTCCCTCACGCGTGGCCAGGCAGCAGGAGGGCGTGCTGGACGCCGAGCACGTAGCCCCGGTTTGTCACCTCACCGGCTGTCTCACGTGCACCCGTCTCCGGGGGAGGGGGCGGGCGAGCGTCACCCGAGAGGCCCAGGGGCGCCATCTGTCTTGAGGACACCCGCGCAGCAAGAGCACCGTCCCTGAGCAGAGAGAATCCGGCCACCAGGCATGCGTGGCTGACGCCTGCCGTCCTCCAACGGTGGTAGAGCCCACAGCCCAGGAGAGGCCCGGAGAGACTCGGAGTCTCAGCCAGGCAAGGGGGCTCTCGTTTGGACAAAGCAGCCTCCGCAAACCCCCCACCAGCGCTTCCCTCCCGCCCGGCACGCTGGAAGGTCCAGGCTAGACGCCGGCAAGAAGCAGCCAGCAAACTGGTTTACTTGCACCTCTCAGGGCTGCTCTGCACAGTGTTCTGAAAAAAATGTTGAATTAGCTGTCAACATTTAGAAGTCGGGGGGAGGGGGGCGGATTTCCACTTAAATGTCCAGATTCCCAGCTTCTCTTGAAATATCCGTACGGCTGGCCACACTGGGCCCACACTGCCGTGTGGCCGCACCCGCAGAGGCTGAGAGCCCCCCTTTTCGGGAAGGCGAGACCCCACATGGCCCGGAACCAAAGGCACGAGTTGACACATGGAAAGAACCCGGTCAGGATCTAGCAGAGGACCAAGGGTCATCACCGCAAAACCCCAGGACACTGGGACAAACAGCCTACGAGCTCGCAGAGAGATGGGAGAAGCAGGTCCCACGCGAGGGAGGAGGAGACAGCACGGACCTCCCAACAGCCACCAAACAGGAGCCTAACATGCAACGCAGCTGCACCTTCTAATTCTGAGGGAAAACAATTGCCAATCTAGACTTCTACAGACTCTAAGAAAAAAAAAATAAAGGATGAGGGTAGAATAAAGTCATTTTCAGCCACCAATGGTCTCTCAAACTGTGCCGGTCACACACCCTTTCTCAGCAAGCTATGAAAATGTGCTCCAGCAAAAAAAGAGGCAGAAAACCGAGAAAGATGATAATGCGGAGTCTGGCACAGCACAGAGACGAGAGAGTTCCCCGAAGACAAGGCGGCCCCAAGATGGCGGCTGGGCTGCAGGCCCGGGTGCTCCCCCGCCACTGGGACCCGGGGGACAGAGGCTCTGAGAAGAGCCGCCTCAGTTATGGGATGGCTTTGAGCGTAGCTCAAGGAGGAGGCTTACTATTCTGGCAGAGAATCTGGGGTCGAATCAGTAACAGATGTAAAACACAGACAGATGGAAAAAGAACAGCTATTAACTCTAGAAGAAACACAATCAGCTGTGAGTAACAGCGCTATGGGCCTGGTACCAGAAATACTGACGATGTACACGGAGCAATTAGGAGAACAGAGGGGCAACGCTGGGAGTGACAAGGGTGGGCCAGCAGCTCTAAGGTCTAAGCTCTAGACTTCTTGTTTAAGATTTTATTTTTTTAAGTAATCTCTACACCCAATGTGGGGCTCAAACTCACAATGCCAAGATCAAGAGTCATATGCTCCACCGACTGAGCCAGTCAGGCGCCCCTAGGAGAACTACCTTCTTGTCTTGCATGGGAGGAAGGCAGCAAGAGATAGGAATTGCCATAATACCATGTTGCTTAGGAAAGGGAGGTAGCAAGACAGAAGGCTGAGGTGTCTGGAGAATGGTTAGGAATGGGGTGAAGGCTTCTCATTTCCATCGTGATTATTTGTAGAATGGCTGGCATTTGACTTTTTAAACTATGTATAACTTCTATAAAAATGAAAACAAAGCTCAAGGAGACAGAGGATCTGGCCACCTAAGGCCCCGTTCCTGCAGGCAATAGTTAGCTGAGGCTAAGAGGCGGCTGCGCCAAGTCAGGGCATAACCCCCCCAGTTCTCCCCCACAGGCCCCCTCACTTGTTTGTGTCCTGCATGGCCCCTGGTGGCACGTGATATTCTTCCAGGTTCTGAATCTACACAAACACCCACCCATCCATCCACAATAGTCCATCTGGACCTTTCCTGGTGCCTCCTGGATTATCAGCACTCAGAGACAGCAACAGTATGTTGCTGCTGCTAGGCTCAAGGGAGTGGGCAGTCACCACACTGTCTGGTCAGAGTGTCCAGGAGGGAAGCACCCAATGTAGTCAGGACAGGCTTCCCGGAGGAAGCAGCTCAATAGCAGAGCCTGAGACAACACGGCCGCAGGCGTGCATGTGGGGAAGGCAAGCGCAGATGCCTACTTTTGGCAGCTTCTAGGTCCCAGACGCGGATGGAGCCCGACTGGGAGCCGGCCACGATGAGCTCCTCCGGGGTGTTGAGGCGGACACTCTCCACTGGGGACGTGTGACCCGTCAGGCTCTGTGGAGAGAGGGTAGCAGCTTCAGTGCCTTGCGTGGAAAACCCCCCAGCTGCTGCCGCACATCCTGGCTCCCTGGGAAGGGCATCAGCAAGAAGTGGCTCGAGCAGGGAGGCTGTGCTCCATGGAGCCGCATCTAGGCCTTTCTGCGGATGGGCTGGGCAGCTGCTTCTCTTGGTCTCGGCCTCCAGGGTTAAAAGTGGGCCAGACCCCTGTCATGCCCCAACCCCTTCCGACGGCCTACTGTGCCCCTGATGTGGGCATCATTTGCCAAAATGGTCCTGGGCCCCTTGGAGGCGGGGAGCAGCTGACCCTCCAGCCCTGAGTCCAAACCACCGCCCACCTAGGCTCTGCTTCTGTCTCCACTCTGCCTGGCCAAGCCCCTCCGGGGGAGAACCCCGACAGAACCGAGGCCCGGCTCGCAATGGCACACATCTCACCCCTCCGGAATGCCTGGGTCCCTGGTGGCTGTCCCTGGTAGAGGTCCCTGCCACGTTCCTAGGCAGGGAATTGTGGAACCCAGAGAGAGCCTATAGTGACTACTGGAAAAAACTGTCACCCAACTCGGTGCAGGCCAGAGCCGGAGCAGGGCTGAGCCAGGTCCTGGCCCAGCCCCTGAGAGGGGTGGGAGAGAAGGCCGGAATCTGAAGTCCATGGCATCTGTCACTCCCCGCCCAGCACCGGTCACCCCAAAGCACAGCGGAGACACCATCATTGTTTGCTAAGACAACATTCTGGGGGGGCGGGGAGGGGCGGTAGGGGAAACCGCTCCCCAGCAGAACTGCCCAAAGGCCAGTCACAAGCAGCTGTGACTCCCAGCCATCACCGGCGGGAGTACAAATGGGGATAAACTCCATGGGGGGGCAACTGGGCAAAATCGGTCCACATTTAGAAATCCACATCCTCTGCACACCAGCAACTCCACCCCAGGGAGCCTACCCTGCACGCGCTCAAGCGCAAGGCAAGCCAAACAGACCCAAGGTCATTCCCCGCAGGGAATCTTTCTCACAGAAGACCAGAGGCTATATAAATGCCCACCAGAGGAAACTGGTCCGCTAAGCTGCAGTCACTCTCGCAACTGAATACTATTTGGCTATAAAAATGAACGAGGCGACCATCTGAAGATGATAAACACTGATCTCCATGACACTTTAGGTGAAAAAAGGTGGAGAACGGTGTATATAGGATACTGTTTGTATAAACAAAAAAAAAGGGGACGGGGAAGAAAAGAGATCTACATATTTGCTCACAGATGTAGAAAATAGTTCTGGAAGGACACAGGGTAATCAGGGGCCGTGGTCGTCCCCAGAGAGGGATGTGGGGGTCAGGGGAGGAAAGAAGACTTCTCACTTCTTACCCCGTGTCCCTTGCACACTGAGCTATACGAGCTCACGTGTGCTCAGAACACACAGAGACCATTAGATGTGGACCATATAGAGGGAACTAGTATATGTCTAAATCAGGGTGAGCAAGAAGTCGCTGGGTCTGCGGCACTCAGAGGCCTGCAGGCTGACTCCCGAGTAAGAAGTGGGACGAGAGCATGGGGTCACTTCGGGCCCGTTTTGGCCAGTGTTTGTTGGCTCGTTTTCCATCTGTATACGTTACTTTGGCATTTTGTGGGGGTGGGACACATTGGAAGCCTGAAAACAAAGTGAAACAAAACAAAGCAATTTCAAGTCTGCTCTTCACCTGGGCCCCAGTTCAGCTGGGACTCAGTCCTTGGCTGCATCTCACAGAATTACTGAGGTGATTAAGTTGCTACTAAAAAAAAAAATCCCTTCCCATCCTTTTTTATCTTTATCTTTCGTGGCCAAGAATCAAAAGAATGTTAATACCCTGTGCTGCCAAGGTCATGAAGGCGGAGAGGGCAGGTCCCTATGCTGCTGGAGAGAATGAAAATTGATTTCTGGAGGGCAATTTGGCAATATGTTTTGAAAGCTTTTTAAAAAGTGCACACCCCCAGATAATGCAAGCATCACAGATCTGCTCAAAGATTGAGGGAGATGAGGACGTTCACCTCCGTGGCTGAGCAGAGCCAAAATGCTGGAAATGACTTTTATGCTGGGAACAGGGCGCGCGGCGAAGCTAATTCTGGCTCATCCCTACAATGGAATACCACGAAGCCATTAAAAACCAGGTTGTAGAAGGGTATTTGTTGACATTGGAAAATGCTCGCAAACAATAAAGATTGTTCTCTTCAAAACCCAGGCTACAGGAGAGTTAAGACAGTGTTCCAAAAATGTATTGTTCTACATCCACGTGGTGCACATGGGTAGGTGTTTGCACGCGTCTGTGTACACGCGTGTGCGTGCATATGATCTAGATGGACCAGCACCTAGACGGACACAGACCAAAATACCAACTGTAGTGGTCTTTGGATGATGGGAATAGATAGAATTCACTTTTGTATTTTTTCCTCCTTTAGATTTTCCTGTTTTGGAAGACAGTTTTTGGCAAGGAATTCGTTGTGTGACCAGGGGGAAAGTGCTATTAAAGAACCAGCTCTCTAACCAGCTTCAGCCAGGTGCCCTCAAATCCTTTTTTGTGGAACCAGATAGGGGATGGTTCAAAGTAACCTCCAAGTGCTGCTGACAGGTGGACGGATGGGCCACTGGGTGAGCCTCCATCTCGGGCCCATGGGCTTATTTTAGCTTTCTCACACAGGCTCCCTGGAACTCTGTCCACCACCAGGGGACCTCCAAATACATGAGGGCTGGCCACGGTCCCAGCCATCCTGCGGGCACTGATGCTGTGTTGTGTCCCCCTAGCCTCCCGCTGGGTGCCCTGGGCCTGACAGAGCCTGCAGAGCTGCGTGCTCCCCACCCCCTAACCCCGCCCCGCCCGCAGCCCCCTCCCTGGGCCTCTGCCCTGTTCCCCACCCACCAGCGAGGCTCACCATGATGCAGTTGGGTTTGTTGATGGACCACAGGTTGACACGGCAGTCGTCCCCACCGGTAGCCAGCAGCCGCCCGGAGGCCTTGCCCAGGACCAGTGAGGACACGTTGCTGGCATGGGCGACAATCTCCTCTACACAAGGAAGGACAGGAGGAGAAGGCAGTCAGAGGGCTAGTCGCGGCCTCGGGGAAGAGGGCTGGGCACTGCCCAGCGCGGCCCCTGGTCCTGGCACCCGAAGCCCAGGTGGAAGGGTCTGCCCACTTCAGCTCCCCTTTGGTGCCAGACACCCCGGCATGACCCAGAAGGCTGGCTGCGAGGGCAGGCCTTGCACCCGAGGCAGGAATGACTACTTCCCAACTTCGGGTATTCCTGTCCCACCCTCAGGCCGCAATTTGCTCCTGTCTCTGTACGTCAACTGGTAATATTATTATGCTTACTCTGCTCAATTTAAAACACTGACTTGCCTTCTGTATTTAGCTCTGTCTACATAAAGACAATTAAGCAATAAAATCCATAAATTACAAGACTGATACGTTCATTATGCTTTTTCTAGAATACAAAATGAAAAACAATTATTATAATGAAATATTGACTCGTGTAGCCACCTAAGCATCTCTGCTGCTGCTTGCTATCCACGTAAACCCACTTTGGGGAACACACATTGAGAACCATTCGGGTCCACTCTCGACAACTGTCTCCAAGTGAGCTCACCCAGGGCTTCAGCCCGCAGCTTCAGAATCCTGGACGAGGTTCTGGTCTGAGCTCTGCTACCGCAGGCTGTGTGGCCTTGGACCAGTCACTCACCCTCTCAGCGGTAAACGGGGATAATAACAGTGCCTGCCTCACTGAGTTGCTGCGGACCCACCGAGCACATGCTGTAGGCTGTGCTTGGTGTTGTTAGTAAGGCTAAGGCACAGACAGTGGGTGACGGGGACCCCGGCAGGCCCAGGAGGGTGGGCTGCATGAGGGTGGGAGGCAGGAGGCAGCCGACTGAGAGGCCTGGGGAGGAGGGGCGGGAGTGAGGGATGACCAGACAGAGTGGGCGGTATGGCCATGGTGGGCAGCCAGGAGGGCCCCTGACCCCGGCTGCTGGGGAAGCAGCGGGGAGCAGCCAACATGGACCACGGAGGGTCTCGTCAGGGCTCCAGAGAGAAGACATGAGCAAGGAACCAAGAGGCAGCCCGGGCCTCCAAGCCAGGCCCTAAGTGAGTTCCTCCTGGGAACGGGGAGGACAAAAAGACAGGTCTCCCCGCCCCAGCAAAGGGAAACTCCAAATGTGCCGACACCCTGAGGCAGCTGGGAGGCTGGCTTGACGCGAGGGAAAGGGCTTGCGGTTGTTCCGCAGAAGGCCTCTCCCGCGCTCCAGCTCCCGCCTCCGCCCTGCCTGGGGCTCTCTGTGGTACGGGCTTCAGACTGGGAAACAGGGCCCAGAAAGGCTGTTTGTCAGGCAACATGGCTCAGAGGGGTTGTCAAAACTGCCAGACCCCAGATGACGCCCCACCTCAGGGCCCGGCCTGGCCAAAGCCAGGGACGGGCAGCACCCAGCCCCAGCAGAGGTGAGAGTCTCCTGCAGGCCCAAACGTCAGTGGGGGCCTCGGGGATGCCATCACTGGACCCAAGGGCGCTGAGACCCTCCCTAGTCCTCATCCCAACTATGGAGCCTTCTGTCCTCTGGACACTGTGGGGACAGATGTCTGGGGTGCTCTGGGGCTTTGGCCATAGACTCTCATCGGTTCAAGAGCTGCTGTTGGGCCCCAGTGGCTGGCCAACTCAGAAAGAGGGCAAACCACCTTCTCTCTGAGCACTCTGTTCCCAAGCCTTGGGCCCTCTCTCCTTCTCTGAAAACACTCCCTGCATGCACTGCCCCCCAGTTGTGACCTACCTATAAGGTCTGGGTGTCTACCCTGGCTCTCACCCTTCCCAGGGAAAGTTCCGGCTGGGCCCCACCTCACCAGGCCTCCTTGGGCACACTGCTACTCCTCTCTGGGCCTCAGGACTACTGCCCCTGGAGACAGCCCTTAATTCATAATATACGTGTTTCCTGGGTGTCTGCTCTAGGCCCAGCACTGGGGAGCCAGTGGGGAAAGACAGCGAGAAGGTTCCTGTGTTCATGCTACAGCCTGATCAGATGGGTCCTGGGACAGGGCATCCAGCTGAAGACCCACAGACGTTGGGGTGAGAAGGATTTGTAGGCTAGGCCCTTCTAGAGGGGCTCAGATCACTCCCCTCTAAGCAGCCTGCCTAGGGTCTCCAGCCTGCCTGAAGCCCCTAGAGGGGCCAGGGACCATGGGAAGAGGGAGGTAGGCCACGGGCACCAGGCAGAGGAGGCCTCGGGAGGGGCATCAGCCCCAGCCCTCCCCCTCTAGCCTGAAGGACAGCATCCCCCAGTGGCCCAGGCCTGGGTACTGAATTCGAGTACAAACAAATACAATTCCTCACAGCATCTCTTGGCAGGCCAGGCTGATGGCTGCAGGCCTGCACCAGCTTCCCAAGCTCACCTGGCACAACCTGGGCCCCACGTCCCAGCCAGAGCTGGGGACACTGCATTCGGTCAGAGGTGCTGAGGATTTGCATCCTCAACGGAAGGTGCAGAGAACCAGGCTTCAATGACTCAAGTTGGCCTAGCACCTTCTGATCCTTGTTGGACTCTATAGGCCCAAGGAGCCAGGGGTCATTTGGCTTTGGGCTCTTCAGATAGCTTATACTCATGGAGACTGCTATGCACGTGAACTTGTCAGCAGGGTCCAACATGCCTGATCATATTACCTCTTGTTTGAACACTTTGATGGCTTGACTTTGCCTTTAAGATAGAGCCAAGGCCTCAGAAAGACTGGGGTCCTGTGGACATATGCCCCCAAAGACCCCAATAGCCTCATTCTTTCCACTGCTGTGTGGCAGCCTATAGACTCCTTTGAGCCCTTCCAACATGCTGAGCTTCCTGCCCCAGGGCCTTTGTATATGCTGTTTAGGCGGCCTACAGCACTCCCCTACGCCACCTGCCAGCATCTAGTTAATTGATTCAAAGCACATGTCCCAGTTTGGAATCAGACAAGGAGAAATGGAGGGGTGTGGCTACCTGATTTCTGCCTCTTGCTCTCCCAGGCTCTGAGCCCATTGCACAGGGACCTCATCTATTTTGGAACCTGCTCCTCCCCTCCCCCCCCCAAACTATCTCCCCAGTGCTTGTGCTTGGTTCTATGCTCAGGAAAGACCAACTGTTGAGGGAATACATAACACCAATCAATACAAAGCCACCCTGTCCAAAGTGTACCCTCCTTGGGAGCCCATAACAGGGTTCTCTCAGAACCCTAGGGCTAAGAAACAATTTGAAACTACCCAAACCTCTCATTTTACCTGTGAGCACACTGACGTCCAGCAAAGGGCTTTGCCCAGGTTCTCACAGTTAGAGTGGAGGAGCCTTGCCCAGCTTCTGAAAACCGCTCAGGGACAGCTCATAGCAGAAGGTGACCAGTTTGGGCACACCGAATCTACGCCAAGCAGTTATTATAGGTGGGGTAAGGCAGTTCCCAAAATATGATCCGGTGGACCTTGGGATCCTCAAGATCCTTTCTGGGGGTCCAAGAGAACAAAACTAGTTTCATAATAAAATACCAAGATGGTATTTGACTTTTACGCTCTTGTTTGCTCACAAGCATACAGAGGGGTTTTCGGGAAGATACAAGGCATGTGATAACACCATCTCTAATGGTATGTTCGACTGTACATTCTTGTGTCTTAAAATGCCTGAGTATTGACTTCTAACATGGAAATATTGATAACTCCCATGAACAAAAACTCGTTGGGGTCCTTAACAATTTTTCGAAGTATAAAGAGGTCCTAAGATCAGAAAGTTTAGAGTTACTAGTGGAGAATAATGTGAGGGTGGGTGGTGCTGGTGCTCAGTGACATTCCAGACCACTGCCAACATCTCTCAGCCTACCCTCTCACCACCCCAACCCCCCTCCCCAAGATTCCCCCATCTCACGGGGGGAAGCCTGACTCCGGGGGAAGCCTGACTCCGTGAGAGGTCTGCAAATGCCAGAACACCTCTCAGCATCTCTCCCCCAGTCCCGCCCATCAGCCTAACTGCACTAAGTGCTTCTCTATGTTCACCACCCCGCGTGGGTCTCACAGCAGCTCCACAATGCAGGTGTGATTAGTTCATTGTAGAGACAGGAAATTGAGCCTCAGAGAGGTTAAGTCACCTGCCCAGTGTCACCCCGCTAAGAAGTGCCAAAGTCATGATTTGCATCCTGGTCTTTCTCACTCCAAGACTGGGAGTCTCCCTCTGTGCCAAGAATAGGAGATAAAGCTGGGGGTTCAGGCCATCCAGCAACAAGAAGCTAATAGGATAAATGGATGAGAAAGGGAAAAAAAAAATCACTCACGTAACTTCCAGGCCGTCTTGGTGACCACTGGGGTGGCCATCCTTCAGTTGGCTGGCACCTGAAGCTCCACCCACTAATTAGACTGTGCTTTGCTTGTGGGGTGGGGGTGGACCCCCCCCCCAGACCCGCCAATCAAGTTGGCAGGGAGTTCCCACACATCCAGGCAGAGGGAATGCCTCCTGTCTTAGCCCCGGACCGCCTCGTGGTTTCACAGCAGCCACAGCAACAGCCTGTGTGTGCCGGTCCGGATCCCGGATTATGGAAGGTCAGGCTCGAGCCATGTCAGTTCAGCACTGGGCTGGAACACAAACAGAGGCGATGGCTTGTCAGAAAACACTTGGTGAGAGTTCGGGGAACTCTGGGCTTGCAGAACTAGAGCGCAGCTCCCCAGATCACCAAGGCTACTGGAGAGAGAGACACCCACCAGAGCCAGGAGCTGCACTGCAAGTCGTGTTTGAGAATCTGGAAGGGGGCACCTCAGGTAGGGTGGCTTGGACCACAGAGGAAGAAAGGTCCTCCCAGAGGCCAGGATGATGGGATGGGAGGAGGCTGTTTCAGGAGGCTGGCTGCCCGAAGTGCAGCAGCCGCCGCAGTGGGGCGGGGAAGACCACATGTCTGCAGTTCACAGAGATTTCTGGGAGTCACTGTTTCGTCTGACGCTGTGAGAAGGGGGTGGAGTCAGAAGCAAAGCTTTGGGGCCCAGGAGAGGCACTCCAAAGGCAGGCATTTAAGTCTTCTCTGGGAAGAATGTCAAAGAGTGCCCTGAGGGTCCAATCCCTCCTTTGGCGGCAAGGGAACTACTCGTGGTCCCTGCAATTCCCAAAGACAGTACTGGGAACCATGAGTCAGTATGCCTCCCCAACTCTAAAAGGCCACCTCATGAAGCCTCTACCCGCTTCTTCCAAGCCTCTTTCCCATGAACGCTCTCTTCTCCGCCCCTTCTCTCCTGGGGTCCCCAGTTCTGCCCCTCTAGTCCTCTGTTCATTCCCCTTCTCCTTGCCGCCTGTGTCCCCCATTCGTGCACATCCTGTCTCCTGGGCTCCTTAACTTGACTCCTGCCTCGCCCGACCCGCTTTATTCCCCTTCCTCTTCTGCTATCAGTATCCCCCATTCATTCACTCTCCTGCTTCCGGTGTCCCTATTCATCACTCAGCCTCCTGCAGACCCCCGGCTCCTCTTCCGGCTTCCCTGGTTTTCCCCTTCGGCCCCCACACCCGTCCCGCCCGTCCGGAGGCTGGGGCTGGTCCCTCGGCCTCGCCTGATCCTCCCACTCCTCTCAGCTCGCGGGGCACGGGATCCAACCCTCCCCCCCCCCCGCCCCGGAGCCCTCTCCGCCACAGCCCGGCTCGGCCCCGCCTGGCTCGGCCCAGTATTAGGCCCATAGTCCCCCTCGCCTCCTCGCCCCCTCGCCCACTCCACCTGCAGCTGAGGCTCCGGAGGCCGAGGCTCCGCTCCTGGCGCGACCCCCACTTGCCTCCATCCCCTGCCCTGATTGGCCGCTGCTTGACAACCGACCCTCACAACAAAACCTCCGGCTCAGAGCCCCGCCCCCTCACCTCCCGCACCAATCAGCCGCCGCGAGCGCCTCACCTCCAGCCAGGTTTGACCAATCGCAGCAGGCGCTTCTGCCGCTCTTCCTAGGTACTCGCCCCCTTTTACCGAATTGGACTAATCACGAGGAAGGAGAATTCAAGAGCCGCCCCTCAGCTTCTAATGAACCAATGAGGGCTGCCATTTCTTTGGTCCCGCCTCTGCCTTAAGCTTTCCCTTTCCTCCCCTTTCCTTCCTCTCCCTCTTAGTTCGCGTTTGAAAACATTGCCAGACGACCCCTCCGATGCCGTCTGTGCCAATCGCTTTAGCAACCGTCCCTATTTAACCAATAAGCGCTCGCCTTATTGGAAAACAATTCCCAGGTAGCCAATGGGAAGGGAACGTCAGGAGCAGCGTGAAGCCGCGGACCTTCCATCTTGGCGTGGGGCAAGGAGGCGACGAGGTCTTCGCCCTTTGCTATAGTTCCTACTTCTTCCCTTTAGTCGGGAGGGGTGCTGCAGTGGCCTCAGGACTTTGCCCCTCTTCTTTGGCTCAGACAGGAGACCTACAGGGAGACGGAGACTGATCCCGGGTCCGAGCCGCGAGCGGAGCCCCGGAGCGCTGCACCACGGCTGCGGTGTCGGTGAATGGATGAGTGGGTTGCTCCCTTAAAAGGACCACCAACTAGAAATCCGAGAAAGTCCGGCTTTATTGGACTCGTGGGTAGGGTGGGCTTAGGGAACGGCCGTAACTGGCTGGAGCCTGGGCCCCACACGTGGTTGGGCCGCTCGGGAGCCGCTTAGGAGGGACTGGACCCCACAGGAGGTGCCCAGGGCCTGGTGCCTAAAGACCCCCGAAGCTCCCCGTTTATCCGCCAGCCTATCACTGCAGCTTGGAGCAGCTTGATCTCTCGTAACGCCTCCGACAACTCTAAGAGTAGGAATCCTGTTCCCATTTACGGATAAGGAAACTGAGGCCTGGATTTAAGGCGCTTGTAATAGGCCACACGACCAAAAAGAATGGTGTCGGACTTGAACCCTTGGTGTTAAAGCAGTCTGTGGGTTTCTCCACTGAACTGCACTCACTCCCAGAGAGAGGCAGAAGGTCCACCCCTCACGTTGTGCTTTTGGGGAGTGGGTTGAGAGACGTATATGGGCACTATCAAAAGAGAACTAGATTAGCAGAATAAAATCCGATCAAGCCTGTCCACTCCGTATTTCCCCCTCAACTTTTTATTGTGAAAAGCTCCACAGAGAAACTTGAAAGAATTCTACGAAGATGTATAATAGTTTAATAGTACAGTGCACCTGGTGGATAACCCAACACTTGCTAAGGTTTTCCATATTTGCTTTGCACCATGTAGGTGTTTTCTTTGAGCGATGTGAAAGTTGTCGACATCAAGACATTTTACCCCTAAATGACACGAAATACTGAGCATGTACCTCTTAAAAATAAGGCCCTTGTCCTACACAACCATTGTATCCCCACACCAAAGAAAACAGAATTCTCTGAAATCCAGTCCAGATTTCCCCAATCATCCCCAAAAGCTATATAAAGGGTTTTTTTCCTAACTCGGAAATAAACAAGATTCACCACACTTGGCTCTTTTAAGCTCATTCTGTTTCAGTCCCTCATTTTTTTTTTTTTTTAAATGACATTGATCTTTTGAAGAGATTGATTGGGCCTTTTACCTTGTAGATTGCTCTATGTTATGATTTTTGTCTCACTGTTTCCTGCTAGTATCATTTACCTTGTTTCTTTCCCTCTGAATTTTTTGCTAAATGGAAGTTAAAGCTTGATTAGGCTCAGGATAAGCATTTTAAAACACTTCATATTGAAGTATAATATACCTACCCCACAGAGCATGTACTATAAGTGTAAAAGTGAGTTTTCACAAACTGAACATGCTCAGGTCCAGAAGAACATTCCTAGCATCCCACATCCCAGAAGCCCCCGTTGTGCTCCCTTACACCCCAAGAGAGACAACTATTCTGATGCCATCAATTAATTAATTTGCCTGTTTTTTTCTATATAAATGGAATCATGCAGCATGTACTTTTTTGTATCTGGGATCTTTTGATATTGCATATGAGGAACCCGATGTGTTATTCCTTGTGGTTATAGTTCATTCATGTTTTGTAACCTATTACTGATATTTTAGGCTAGATCACTCTTTTTCAGGGAGCTTTCCTGTGCCTTGTAGATGTTTGCAGGATGTTGAGCAGGATGAGAGTAGATGTTGAGCAGGATGAGAGTGCCAGTACCACTCTCATACCAGTTGTGACAACCAAAGAGGTCTCAAGACCACAATTTATGTCTCCATTCTACTACTGATGGGCATCTGGGTCGTTTCCAGCTTGGTACTAATACTGCTGCTGCCATGAACATTCTAGTACCTGCCTTTTAGTGGATGTATATGTGCATCTTGATTGAGTTGTTCATCATTCTTGGTCACTGAATGGATGGATGAATAAATGGATGGGGGAGGGTGGATGGAGCAGAACCTAGGAGCAGAATTGAGCCAAAGTTTAGTTTTACTAGATACAGCCAGTTTTCCAAAGTGGTTGTATAGACTGACCCTTCCACTGGGAAAGCTATTTGAGAGTTCCAGTTGCTTCTCATCCTCCCAACTCTTACTCATTTTATGCATACTGGTGGGTGTGTGGTGGCATTTCATATCCCGGTTGACTAATGAATTTGACCCTTTCATGTGTTTATTGGCAACTTTTTAAGCTAACATTGAGTGCTTTCTACGTGCCACTTCCGGTCCTGCCTGCTTTACAAGTCTTATTTAAGACAACAGTGCCATCCCATTTCACAGATGGCTACATAGTGGCTGGTAAGATGCGGAGCTGGGATGCTGTTCTTTGCAGTCTAATGTGGAACTCCCAAGTTCTGGAGCATGCACCTTGGCCTTGCCACTCGCACTCTGTCATCTGGGCCACCCTAGCCACGTTGTTGAGATCTAACCAGTTGTTTGAAGGTGGCCGCGGGACCATCTGCAGAGGTGCCGCAAAGACTCAACATTCCAATGGTGGGAAGGAGAGGGAGCAATTGAGGAAAGGGGCCAAGGTGGGTGGGGAAGGGCGGGGGGAGTCTCAGGCTATAGACAAAGAAGGGAAGGAGAAGAAGCCTCCGCTGGAACTTGTGAAACATGAGGTACGGACGGCAAATGAAAAGTGTGTTTAGGGCGCCTGGGTGGCTCAGTTGGTTAAGCGACTGCCTTCGGCTCAGGTCATGATCCTGGAGTCCCGGGATCGAGTCCCACATCGGGCTCCCTGCTCAGCGGGGAGCCTGCTTCTCCCTCTGACCCTCCCCCATCCCGTGCTCTCTCTCTCTCATTCTCTCTCTCAAATAAATAAATAAAATCTTTAAAAAAAAAAAAAGTGTGTTTATACGCAACTAATGAATCGTTGAACACTACATCAAAAACTAATGATGTACCATATGTTGGCTAACTGAACATCATAAAAAAGAAAGAAAGAAAGAAAAGTGTGTTTATTTACAGGAAAGTCATAAGAAGCAGGAGAGACAGGGCTGCTGGGAGGCGGGGTGGCGGTGAGGTCGGGCACCGGAGGGAAAGGTCATCGCTGGCTGTAGAGCGCACAGGGGCCAGGCCGTGGGGGCGGGTTCTTGCTCTGGCAGCTTCGGCCAAGCATCAAACAAAGACTTTCAGGAACTCCACCAGGCGTGGGTCCTTGTGGAGCTTTTCCTCCAGAGCCAGGTACTTGAGTGGGGCCAGCTCCTTGTGGCTGAAATCAGAGGGAGGAACAGGAGGTGGTGAGGGCTCACAAAGCTCCACCCCAGCCTCCCGAGGGTCCTCTCCCGGCTCCCCGCCCCCCTCACCGGTTGAGCCGCTGTTCCAGGATGCGGATGCGGAACATGGCCTGAGAGCAGTAACTCAGGTACCAGTCCTCGTCCTCGGCCGTCAAGGTCACCTGGTTCTCCTGGTACCACTGCTGCTTCTTCTGCAGCTCCTGGGTCTCCTGTGGATGCGGAGAGGAGAGAGCAGGTGGGGTTGAAGAGGGCTGGCCCTCACCCAGGCTGCCCGCCAAAATCCCGCTGGTCCCTGGGCAGCCTCAGGAGGGCTGGCCCCGCTGCCACCACCCACAGAAGCCAGAGCGGCAGAGGCGGGGGCCACAAAATGTCTCGCGTGGGAGCCAGTGGGGACATGTTTAGAGGGCTATCGTGTCCAGGAGGAGCAAGGCTCAAGACAGAGACTGCCTTGTGAACAAGTTTCCAACGTTTTCAGAGCTTGTCTGCAAATGAAGGGCATTACACGCCCCTGGCGCACAGCATAGAGCTTGTTGTGAAGACTAAGTGGGATAATGCATGCAAATCACATGGTATGTAGCAGAAAGAAATGCGACAAAGACTAGGAGTTGTTGTAATGCACCCTCCTTCCATCCACCCCCCCATGTCACCCACCCCTCCATCCACCTTTCCACCCAACAAGCAAGAACGAGGAAGGACAACTCCGCCTTTTGGCAACTCTGAGCACTGATAATATTCATCCCCTCACCAGTCCCTCCCAAGTGTTGGGGATGGTGAGCAGACAGCCCCGGGTCCATTTTCTGGATGCGGACCCGGAGGGGGGCCCAGGCCGCACCTTCTCAAAACGGGCCTGGATGAGGTTGGCCTTGTCGATGAGCCGCTGCTTGAAGTCACTGAGGCACTCGTCCTTGACCCGCATGGCCTGCCAGCGCGTCAGCTTCTCTCCCGGTGGGAGCTGGGCCAGGAACGGAGCCAGGTAGTCCAGCTGGGCCTCCACCTGCCGCAGGTGCTCCTCGTGCATCACGCGCTCCTGTGGGCGGTGTTGGCGGAGTCAGGACGCCAGCGCGGGCTGCAGGAACCCCCGGACCAGCTCCGCAACATGTGACGACACCCCCACGAGGCCTTAAATCCAGATCCCGGAGCCTGGCGCCTCTGGGACTGAGGCATCAGAGGGGACCTCTGTGTTGTCCCTCATAGCCAACTCTGTCTTACGTGTCACGTCTCTCCGCCTGAGCCTCAGTGCATCACTCACGCTCGGCACATGCTTGCGCAATAAATGGTAATAAATGGTGGTTATAGCAATGTTAAATCGAAAGCTGCCAGTAACTCCCCCGCCTTTTCACCCGGGGCCTTATGGCCTGTGTTGGCAGATAGGGGTCAGTGAGGTTGGAGATGTGGGGCTCAGCCCCCATCGCCCGGAGTCTGAGAACCAGTTATCTAATGCCCTGTCCTGCCTCGCCAACCCCAAACTATTTTTAGAAATCTCTACTTGGTTGGTGTAGGGGATTTAGAAGCTGGCCCTGAAAACCCCAGCTGCGACTTGCAGCCTGAGGGTGTAACCCAGATGTCCTGTGCGGCAGGTGCCCGAGAACCCAGGCTGTGGCCAGAGTCTGCTCGCTGGGGTTATGGGCCCAGGTCCTGACCTTGAGGGGAGGCCTAGGTGGAGGTGGGTACAGGATTTTCCTTCTGTCCCCATGCAGTAGAGGCCTCGGCTTGGCCATAACCCCTGGAGGTGGCAGGGGTGTGGGGGAGACCTGATCTGGATCCTGCATGCTCTTTGGTGTTCATCAGAGAAATGGCCGCTCAGCAAGGATGACCACAAGGATGACCTTGTGGATGGATGACCACACTGACATCAGGAGCGTCATCCCCTATAAAGGGCTTCCTGGTAGAGTCCCTAATCATCCTCACCACCTTGGAG